CCAATTTCGATGTCGCTCTATCGAATAGCGTTGAGAAAATTAAATAAAATCGCAATTTATGCAAAACTTTTGCAAAATAAAATAAAAAAAACGCATATTTTTAGGGTTAAATTTTTCTTCCGCTATTTTCTCCATAAAAAGTTAGTATTGCTCGGGAAAGTGTCTAAAACGTGTTCCCGACACTTTAACTTAAAAAAATATGCCATGGACATTTTTTCAACAAACATGGTGGTGCCAAAATAGTGGTCGATTTGAAGCATTTAATTCGAATTTTCGTTTATATTTGGTTATCGAAATTGTTTTACATAGTATTGATGTGATACTGGAATGATAGAAAAGGGCCAGTATCGGAAAACAGTACAGAAAATTAGTACTGTACCAGTATAAAAAAAATTGATTCTTAGCATTAAATATCTATTCCCAGTACTGGACCAGTATCGATTACTAGTAATTTTTATTATTTGTACAATTGTTAACATCACAATTATATAGTATAGAAAAAAAAATCAGATCATGGCCGAGCTACTCTTTCATATCTATATATGTCTATTTTTAATAGTCATATGAGGAAAAAATCTTCGGAGCAACGACTGGAATCGAACTCGAGTCTTCTGCTTGTCAGGCAAGCGTTCTTACCACTGAGCTATCTAGGTTACACGTTCCCGACTAGAAATTGTCATCAGGTACATATGACTGAAATATATAAGATCCTAATTAAATTAAGGGTTCGCAAGGTTATTCTTACTATGGTAAACCTAGTCATGTACTAATAAAAATTGAGTAAGGAAGACCTTTGCAAGGTTATATAATTAGATATATATAATATTAGGACCTTAATGTATTATCCTAATATATTATTTCATAATGTTTTATTGATCCTTTTTAGGATCTTATTTCTTTTACCTATTATGACTTGCATTATCAGTTTTTAATATTTTTTGTAACAACTTTATATAGGTTTTAAGTAGGCAACTTTAGTAGGTTTGACTAATAAATTTTTATAAATTTTTTCATAAAAATATTTGCTATTTTTTTAATTTCAAGTATTACAAAAAAGTGTCGAAATATAAATTCACATATATTTTATATAAAATTTTTAAATACTCAACAAAAAATATGAGTATAATAATAAAAATATAAGAGTATGATATTTTGCAATATTACAACAATATTTCAAGAGCATTGAAAATTATATTTTGATAATATTAATAAAAATTTTCTTATTATATAATAATAATAAAATAAATTATTATTAAATTTTATTATATTAATACATATGTATTATTCATATTATATTACAATATATCATAATCATTTATATTTTTCATATTATTTATATATAAAATTGAAATGTAATTAAGCAATTTTGCGCAAACTTTGAATATTTTTTTATTTTATAATATTCTCTATTATATAGAGTCTGACACAAACTGTATCGATAACAAAAAAAATGCATAAAAACATTAAACTGGAAAGAATAGTCGAAATCATTTTGCAAATAACTACATAAAGTTTAGAGATATTAAATAAAATAGATATTAAATAAAATAGGCGAATCAACGCGTATATTTACTAGGTACATTATAATATACTGAGAACACTGTAAGTATATATTTTATAAATTGTAAGAACATCGTTGGAGTCATTGGAATCACCGCGTGCCGCTCGATCGTCAGGTTAAGCAACGCAGTTAGGATGGATGGTGACTGGCATACTTCGGATTTAAAATTATTTAAGGAGTTCGCGAAAGTTTTAGAGTGTTTTGACAATCTTTCGGTTCCTAGCAGTTATAAGACATAATAATAATAATTAATAGTAATAAGAAAATTAGGAATTAGTTTTTTTTATGAAAGCTACGCGGAAAAGTTTTAAGCGGATATTTTTACATTATATCAAGGTTTGTGCAACGTTGATTCAATGTTTCTCAATGTTACTGCAATACTGACATTGTTGCAATTCAATATTTTCTCAATATTGATTTAACATTATTGTGCTGTATGGGAAAACGTGATAGGGATTCAATAGTATAGCCTGATGAGGACATTATAGTAAACCTGATTAAGGTCTACATAACGACACAACGTTACATGATTTTTCAGGACCCGATAGTATAACCTTAAATGGATCCGACATCCAGTCAACCCGATTAGGACCATGGGATAAATTTCTAGTCGGAGACGAGTGCTAGTCGAAAAGAGCTGAGTCAAGATTGTGCAAGTAATTTTATAGTATTAATTAAGAAGTCTAAGTTTAATTTCGCGTTTATTGTGTGTGCTATTAACTTTAGTATATAATTATTATATAATTATTTCTTTTTTCTCTAATTCCTCGGCCTTCTACTTAATAACTACAGTTAACAATATACATTACATAATACATTACGATTATTTTAAATAAATAAATGTTAAGCGTATGTAAAACATAATATTCAACACAATTTAAAATACCGATATAAAACCTTCCAGAAATAGCCATTCCAGATATCGATACCGAAAAGTGGATGTCCAGTTTTGGCACTGGCTCAGTATTGGAGCTAATATAAAAAAGTATATTATTTGTACTGGTTCCGTATTAAGATTAGGTACTGGATAATCGTACCGTATGTATACTGGGGCGTTACAGAAAAGTGTTTGTTGTTTTCGGGAGTATTAAAAAAAACTGTATTATTCGTACTGACCCTGTTCGTAGAATCAGTACTGGATACTCAAATAAGAATCGTATATAATCTGCCAATAGAGGATATTGGGCCGGTACCGAAACCACGGGCCGAAATACGGACGATACCAATGTCTTTTATGGGAAAACATAAAAGGTCACTAACCCGACTAGAAATTTACCCCATGGTCCTAATTAGGTTGACCATAACTAGATGTCGGGTCCATTTAAGGTTATACTGTCGGTTCCTGAAAAATCATGTAACACTGCGTCGTTATGAGAACTTTAATCAGATTCATTATAATGTCCCCATCAGGCTATACTATTGAATTCCTATTACGTTTTCCCATACAACAATAATGTTAAATCATGTTAAATCAACATAGAATGCACAATAATGTTAAATCAATATAGAAAATGTTGAATTGCAACAATGTTAATAATATTGCAGTAATATTAAGAAACATTGAATTAACGTTGCACAAACCTTGATACCATCTAATAATATCCGCTTAATCCGTATAATCTAAAAATATCCGCTTAAAAGTTTTCCGCATAGCTTTCATAAAAAGAACTAATTCCTAATTTTCTTATTACTATTAATTATTATTATTGTATCTTATAACTGCTAGGAATCGAAAGATTATCAAAACATTCTAAAACTTCCCTTATAGAAATATCATACTAAGAATCATTGATAATTACTTATTACCCAGCATTTTTAATACTGAAAATAAGTAATTATCAATGATTCTTAGTATGATATTTCTATAAGGGTTTCGCGAACCCTCTCTAAATAATTTCAAATCCGAAGTGATATGCCGCGGTCATCATCCATCCTAACTGCGTTGCTTAACGATCTGCCTGCCTGACGATCAAGCGGCAGGCGGTAATTCCAATGACTCTAATGATGTTCTTACAATTTATGCTTATAAAATGTATACTTACAGTGTTCACAGTATATTATAATATATTTAGCAAATACACGCGTTGATTCGCCTATCTATTTTATTTATTATCTCTAAAGTTTATATAGTTATTTGCAAAATGACTTTAACCATTCTTTCAGTTTAATGTTTATTATGTATTTTTTTGTTATCGATACAATTTGTGTCAGACTCTATATAATAGAGAATATTATGAAATATAAAAATATTCAGGGTTTGCGCAAAATTGCTTAAACACATTTAAATTTTATATATAAATAATATGAAAAATATAAATGGTTATGATATATTGTAATATAATATGAATAATACATATATATTAATATAATAAAATTTAATAATAATTTATTTTATTATTATTATTATATAATAAAAAATTTTCATTAATATTATCAATAATATAATTTTCAATCCTCCTGAAATATTGTTGTAATATTGCAAAATATCATATTTATATTTTTATTATTATGCTCATATTTTTTGTTGAGTATTTAAAAATTTTATATAAAATATATATAAATTTATATTTCAACACTTTTTTGTAATACTTGAAATAAAAAAAATAGCAAATATTTTTATAAAAAAATTTATAAAAATTTATTAGTCAAACAAACTACATATAAAGTTGTTACAAAAGATATTAAAAACTGATAATGCAAGCCATAATTGGTAAAATAAATAAGATCGTAAAAAGGACTTGATTAATAAAACATTATGAAATAATATATTAGGATAATACATTAAGAACCTAATATATACCTAAACATTATAACTTTGCAAAGGTCTTCCTTATTCGATTTTTATCACACGACATGACTAGGTTTATCATAGTAAGGATAACCTTGCGAACGTCTAGTTAGGACCTGATATATTTCAAGTATATCTGATGACAATTTCTAATCGGATCTTCTTGCTTATGTATCTATCTCATACATTTTATTACTCGCGTATTTGCAATCTTCTCGCTTTAATTTGAATAATTTTGCACAACTTCGAGTTTAATTTACTCTTAGCAGACTCTATTAGTTCTAGATTTGTTTACACATCGTAAACTTAACGGTCTCTATTAGCTTTATTAACTTAACGGTTTCTAGATTTGTTTCATTGTAAACGGTATTTATCGCAACCTTACTGATCTTGTGACGTATAGGGATTTTTCCGAAGCAAGAATATTGTCTCGAAAATAAAAATATTGTCTAGAAAAATCTGTAAATTTAGAGTAAAAAATGAAAAAAATATTGATATAGTCGTATTTTTTATGATATAATCGAATTTATCTAGTTTGTTTATTTCGTCACAAAGCATTCATTTCGAAAGCGTCAGCTCATTGTTTAAAAGTTTCAGAAATTTATTTTGCAGTAACGACATGACGCATTAATATTGTTTGTTTCGTTTCAGACGCTATAAATACACCTATATTTGTAGAAGAATGCAGGGCATTATGGCGTGAAATAATGGAACAACGCATAGCTATAGTCGCTTTCGTTGATAATCCCAACGGAGGGAAACCTATAATAGCCGGCATGAACATGCTATGCGTTGAGTTTAAGGAGAACGCAGATAAGGAAATGCACGTGAGTCTCGTTGATTATTTTTGCTTGAAACTATTTCAATTTCCTGTTATGTCTACGCTACGGCTCGCACGTCTCAGTGTGCAATCGCACATGACTGTAGTGCAAAGTAATCGACAATAATTTGTTTAATAATAATTGGCGATTTGATGTATCAGTCATTGGCAATTTGTCCAATGATAGTTTATTACGTCAATACGTACGTTTTCTAGTTCTCGTCAAAGTTCGGAATTACGTACAAGGTCGTAATGGATCTAAATAAGCAAGTTCGATTGTATGAACGTTACGGAGTAGACAAGTACTTGTTCGCTGTTGGACTCAGCGTAGCGCCCGATTTTCGAAGATACGGATTGGGCACAGATCTTCTAAAAACCAGGTAAGATACGCATATGATTTGACATGAAAACTTTCTTACAACATAGACCAAAATCACCATATAGTTCGATTCGATCAAAAGATAAAAAGTACGGAAACTATATGAAATCAAACTAGGTTGTTACTTATAAAATGGCGTTGTTTATAATAACCGATTCCCTCGCTTCTTTTTGAGGAGTTCTACGTACGACTAATCGTATCATGATTTAAATGTCGATTTAGAGATAAAATCGGACGCGAGTACAATATCCAGATGACATCCACGGTATTTTCCTCACCGTACGCTATGAAAGCAGCGGAGCGTGCGGGATTCGAGCTACTGTTGTCGAAAGATTACACCGATTTAGTAGATGAAAATGGAAAGGAATATTTTCCTGGTATACAAATCTCCAAAAGTATAGTGATTATGGCAAAAAGAATATAGGAAGGTGGGCCTCCCGCATGCGCAAGATAGTAGAAAAAATAAGTTGCTCAACTTTTGATCTGGAATAATTTTTGCTGTAAGTATGAACAAAGTAATTTTTACTACGAAGAACTTCCATACATTTTATCTCAATAATGTTGTTAACCCTTTAAGTCATAGTGTATCATATATGATACATCTTTTTTAGAGCAGTTTTTACAAATTTAAACTAATTTGTATAGATTTCAAGGCGGTAAATATGAATATTCACTTGCCAAAAATATTACAAAATAAATATGTGGGAAAAATAATTTGGTGGATACTTTTTGAGCTGTAGATAATGACGCAACCTCAAAAATTGCAAAATTCAAAATGGCGAGCTAAAATACCCCAAACAAAAATTAAATCTAATGATTGTCTAGTAATGACACAGAAAAGTTAGGTCTTACATCACTACTATCTAGAAATGTAACGTTCACTTCTTCTACCCAGACAACACAGGATGTCCTACGGACATCCATTTTAAGTTCATTTTACGTTCGTACATCCGTAGACATACAATGGACACATACAATAGACGTCCATAAAATATCCGATTTTGGATATCCATTAATGTCCATAATTTGGATGTCCATAAGATATCCGATCTTGGACATAAATTAAGTATAAAATTCTTAAGTATAAAATAGTCTTAAGTATAAAATTCGATTATAGACATGTTGAGAATGCGTATTATCAACGCTACATATCATTCTATTCCCAGGCAGCAATGTCACGTAATTTTTACATCGATAAATGGTAATTACCAGTCTTACACGTTATGTAACCAATAACTGACGTTTAAAAAACGGGATAATTTTGACGTGATAATAATGTCATTTAAAGACGTCTATAATACGATTTTTAGTGGTCACTTTTAATCAGCTGTTCGATAAGCAAAGAATGTGACAGATATTTATCTAATGTTAATTTATATCAACTGTGGTATATGTACAACAGATTATTATTTATACACGCTGTTATTTATTTTTTGTGTTTGCATCTCAAGCATTTGACTCTTAGAAATAAACCTTATAGAACTTGTCCTACCATTTCTTATTCACGAGCATTGCATCGTTGCAATTATCCAGTTAGTAAGATGATGTTCAAAGATATCCCAGCAAACACAGTTATATCAATATTATATAATTGCAATAGAAATGATTATAACAGATAATATTGCATGAAAGTTATTAATATGTTATTATTATGTTTTTATTCCCCACTCATAGATGTAACATGTAATATCATGTTATATTATGGTTACATAGGAACATCAATTAATGTTATATAACTGCAAAATAACTAAGTAATGTCCCAGCAAACAAATATCATTTTTTGTTGAATTTCAACGATTTATTCATTAATATGGTTCAGATAAGTGATAATGTATGATTATTTTGTCTAAATAAAAAAAAAAAAAAAATTGGCATTTCATATTTCGTGTCATTTCACTTATTCGTGAAACACTCGCGTGGTTTCGATCCTGTGTCAGGCGGTTACTCATTTTTACATCATGTTTTTCAATGCTTAACTTCAACGCTCGTATGAGAATTGGTGATGCCGATGCGCTGTAACGATATCTTGATAGATGATATTTACAATATACTCTTATATCGTTCAAAAAATGTTATGACATTTGTATTGATACAATAATTGTTATGACATTAATATTGATACAATATTGTATCAGCAATCAAATTTTAACCTACAGCGTGCTCGCAAAAGAAAGAGAATATTCCTTCTTTCTCTCTCACAATATTTTGATGAAGTAAAGTTATGATTAAACTATTTTTGTAAGAATTATGGTTTTACAATATCGTGATATCCAAACAGCAACGTCACGTAATTTTCACGTCGATAAATGGTGATTATCAGTCCTAGACGTCATGTAACCAATAACTGACGTTTAAAAAACGTGATTATTTTAACGTGATAATAATTCTAGCAAACACAGATATATAATTGTAACATTACTGTAATAAAACAGAATGTAAGAGGTAATATTATATGTTCGTTACATGTAACACTCACGTTAGTTACTATTTCCCATTCAAACGATATCACAATGATATAATGGAAATGTAACATGTAACTAAAATGTTATATAACTGTTTCAAAGTTACAAAAATATTATATAGCAGCTAGATAATTAACCAAAATGTTTTATAACCGCAATATTAATTACTTTTGTGTTATATAATAATTATATAATTATTTATATTATATTAATATTTGTATTTATATATTTATATATTTTATTATATATAATGGTAATTATGCATTTTTACGGAGCAACCTCTAATAACTTTGATCTTGATACATGTTATAGAGATCACCCTTCTGAGTAAAAATTTTAGGCGACGCTCGTTGTTCCTTAAAAAATTATTAACAAAAGAAGTTCATTTAATCTGTAGATTTACGCACACACATGTACGCACGCACGCACGCACACACACACACTACTTAGGCGTTCGTGCGCTCGCCCGGGTTATTGTACGATTTTGCGTGGTAATACACTCATCTTCTTTAATTAATAATTGAAAATCTATGTGATTATTTGAAAAATGGTAGAGAACTTTTTTGCTCTGTTTGACGTAAAGTATAAGTACACAACGGCAGTCATCGCTACTATAACTCATTTACCATATTCTGCATGATCATTTACAAGTTTTCTACAATTAATATCTCGATAATTATTACGAATTTCGGCAAACGGTAGGACTTTTATGTTTACATCAATCCATTCTATGTCCCCACAAAATGCCCGGAAGAGAGTGTGAGACACCCTGTATGTTATATATATATATATATATATATATATATATATATATATATATATA